GAGAGAGAGAGAGAGAGAGAGAGAGAGAGAGAGAGAGGGAGGGGGGAGAGGGGGGGAGTGAGAGTGAAAGTGAAAGAGAGACGGAGAGACACAGAGACAGAAACACAGTGACAAAGACACAGGGTGCGGCAGTAGGAGGTAGATGAAAGAAGTAGAGACAAACGACTTGGGAAAGACTGCGTGACTTGGGTACATCTCAGTGCTAGCTTCTCCTGATGAGGGGAATTTATGGACAGTTTCTGAATGGGCGACAGAGATAGATTTAATTTCCTGGTACAACTGAGCTGGTTTTTATCCGCATCTGCGCATCGTTGTCTGTGGTTTATTCATAGTTAAGTCATCTAATTGGTGCTCTAAACAATTCGTTCTTGCGGTTTTTCTTGACATCTCTTGCGATCTCATTCTCCCAATTAAGTTGAGCAATTACGTGTCGCTCTTCATCTTTCTCATAATGTATTCTTTCTTTTTCTCTTTCTCTGTGTCTCTGTCTCTGTTTGCCAGTATATGTCTGTCTGTCTGTCTGTCTGTCTGTCTGTCTGTCTGTCTGTCTGTCTGTCTCTCTCTCTCTCTCTCACGCACACACACACACTATCTATTTATTTATCTATCTATCTATCTATCTATCTATCTATCTATCTATCTATCTATCTATCTATCTACCTATCTATCTATCTATCTTTCTCTCTCTCTCTCTCTTACACGCTGTGGGTGTATGGGCCAAAGGCCTTTCAAATCAATAAATCATTTTGAATCTTTGAATCTCTTACACACTCACTCTTTCTCACCTTTTCTCATGTTCTCTCTCGCTCACTTTCTCTGTCTATCTATCTCTTTTTGACTGAGGGCCAGTGCTTCTTCTCAATAGGCTAGTATTTGAACACCATGCTTCCCCCACCTATTATGTTTTAGCAAGGAAAACTCGTGTAAATGGCCTTTCCTAAAGACACAACGTCGGGCCTGCGGTTCGAACCCCAAAGCCAGCAACCTTAAGATAACTAGTCTAGGAGCCTAACCACTATATAACCGACGTCACAAACTGATCACCCAAACAGATAGTGTGAATGGTTTATCTACGGCTTTAGCAGTCTGACAAATCAGTCCAAACGCTGTTTTAGTGAAGAAAAATTATCGACAAGATTTTTTCTCATTTTGTTATATTTCAGATTTCCCAAAACCTGGGGTCTGGATATCCCTCTGACAATCTCAAACCTCCCTTTTTGGTTGACGAGGACCGGTACACACTCTCTGCGTACTTTGTGCACCCTTGTGAGTGAACGATGTGTGATAGATAGATAGATAGATAGATAGATAGATAAATAGATAGATAGATAGATAGATAGATAGATAGATAGATAGATAGATAGATAGATAGATAGATAGATAGATAGATAGATAGATAGAGAAATGGAGCTAGAGAAATCATGAGAAAAAGTGAGGCGGGTGATAGATAGATAGATAGATAGATAGATAGATAGATAGATAGATAGATAGATAGATAGATAGATAGATAGATAGATAGATAGATAGATAGATGGATAGATTAATAGAGGTGAAAATCAGAGAGAGTGTGTAGTGTGTAAGAGAGAGAGAGAGAGAGAGAGAGAGAGAGAGAGAGAGAGAGAGAGAGAGAGAGAGAGAGAGAGAGAGAGAGAGAGAGAGAGAGGATGAGGAAGAGAGGAAGAGACGACTATTAGTCCTATGCTTTGTACCGGCTCCTTAGTTTTAAAGTTGAGAACCTCCTCCTTCTTATTCTCCTTCTCAAGCCATCATCTGCACCACGGGCAGAACAGTTGCTCAGGTTTCCTCTCAAGGCCTGGGTTCAAACCTGTACATCCAAACAACCCAGGATCCTGATACAAGTCTTCTAGTCCCTCGACAGGAGACAAACCTCAGAGGTAGTAACTGGACTGAGGGCCAGTGCTTCTTCTCTATGGGTTAGTAGTTGAACATTATGCTTCCTTCACGTATTATGTTTTAGTAAGGGTCACTATGATCTGAGAAAGAGAGAAAGGAGGAGAGAGAGAGAGAAAGAGAGACACACACACACACACACACACAGAGAGAGAGAGAGAGAGAGAGAGAGAGAGAGAGAGAGAGAGAGAGAGAGAGAGAGAGAGAGAGAGAGAGAGAGAGTATTCCGATGCTAAAAGCAGCTTCTTTAAAAAAAACACACCAATTTTTTCAATGTAAGCCTACATCTTTTCTTCCTTCACAAATCACAAGAGTGTAAGTAATAAAATGCTTGACCTACTCACAGCTAATAGATCGTGTAGATATGGTCTGAAGTTAAAGTTTCTACAACTGAAAACCCGTATCACTTCATCTTAACCCGCCACTTTTATTCAATAACAATTATTGTGGCATTTGTGCTTCCCGATGAAACATATACAGCTAAATAACAATAATGATGTTAAACCCAGATCAAGTAGGGAAAACATTTGTCGAATATGCCTCTGAAAATCGAGGGAAAATATGCTAATTATTTGTCAATTTCGATTACATGTAACAATATGTTTAAACAAAACAACCCCCCACCCCCACTCACCCTTTTTTAAAGTTTTATTTCCATCCTATCTCTCGTCCTACCTCCATCCCCCCCCCCCCTTCGTCCATCCACTCACTGCATCTATCTTTTCACCCCCCCCCCCCCCCCAAAAATTCTCGTTGTCGAACGTTTCCCCTTTAAAATCACCCCCAATAAGTGGGGGGGGATCTTCCCACCTCCACCCCGCCCTTAAACTCCCCCTTCCTTATTTCACTCATTCACATCGCTTCGTTTTCGTCGCCCCTCCCTCTTCTCACATTCTTCTTTGGCTTTAGTAAGTGTTTCTCGGCACTCGCAACTGCATAAGGTCATATGAGCGCCAGAAGATTAGAGGTGTTACAAGAGAGTAACAAACATTTAAAAAAAGGAGAGGAGATAAGGACGATAGTTTTCTATAGGAAAGAAGGAGCAAACCACACCAGAGCACCCGCCAACCACCCACACTCATATTCTCATACTCTCTTATTTTGTCATCCAACCGCCCCCCACCCCCACCCCGCTCACCCCGCTAACAGGCCGTCACTACTGGTATGACTTAGAAAAAGACATGAACTGCGGGGACATCTTCCCAGTCTTCCTCCTCTACAACGGAGGCCAACTCACTGGATTTGGCTGGGCCATGGTCAATGATGTCAGATCAGTGAGATACGAACACCCACCTTCAGCTCTCATACGGGTAGGTTTTTCCTTTTTTTGTCAGTGTTTTACGGCGCTAGTAACTGCATAAGGTCATATGAGCGCACGGGACACGTACAACATGTTTTGTTTGGTAGGAATTTTGAATTTGCCCCAGTTGCGCCAGAAGCCCTCTCTTATCGATTTAGGACCACCAAGGGATCTTTAACGAGTGCAACTGACACATGAGACCATCCAGATTTTTCGCCCTTTTCCGAGAAGGCTAGGTGTTAGATCGTACTTACCGTCAGATCAGGTTAATCGTAATTAGCTTTTCCCCTCTTTCAACAGTAGACCAGATTAATGGACACTTGTTTTTGCTGTTGTCATTTTTGTTGTCCTGTGTCCTTATTTGGTGTATAGAAAATGAGTCAACAAGGTATTAAAAGTGTCTAGAAAAACACACTCGCCTATAAATATAGCAACCCCCTCCCCCTCCCCCCCCAAAAAAAAAAAGAACAGCAACAAACCAACCGGAAACAGGACGATTGCTGGACATACATTGCTCCTGGACATTCAAACATATGTTTGATATCCTCCTTTTCATGGCCGCATCTTCGGCAACATGGGCTGAGCTCTTCATTTACAAAGTTCTTATACCATCTTAAACTCCAATGATGGTCCGACCGCAGTATCGCTAGCTCAACCTGGTCCCAGCGACATGTGATAGATTTTTGTTCCCGCTTAAAGGAGTACCCAGAATACACATCTTCCAGGTGCTGGTACTTAGTTCTACAGGGTGGGTCTCTGATTTCTCTCTTGATTATTGGAAAGACTCCTCTGTATGTCGTTGGTCGTCTGTCTCCTTCGATCTCTCTGGCTTCATTAGCAGCTTGGTCTGCTGCCTCATTTCCTTCTATTCCAACATGGCTTGGAATCCACTGAATTTTTATTGTGGCTCTGGCTTCACTGAACTTGCGGCGCAAATCATTCATGTCCGAGCTGTTGCCCAGCAGCCCATTGCAGAGGGACTGACTCAGTCAAGATCAGCACATTGGTCTTACTGTGGCAATTGTCAGCAATCCATTGTGCAGCAGACATCATTGCCTGGCATTCCTCGTCATAAGATAATGTAAGGAATGCACCTTTAGTTTTAATAATTTCTGTTCGTGGTGGTTCATCATTTATTATCGCGATGATGATGATGATGATGATGATGATGATGATGATGATGATGATGATGATGACCAAATTATTAGGAGTGATGAGCAGGGTTTATCTTGTAGGGGGGGGGGTATCCTTAGGGGCAGGATACAACTCTCAGTCCCAACTACTCGCATAGCGGGACCAAAATATGGAATTTTCGCATTCATAGTCCTCAGCATTTAATAAAGGTATGCTGAAATACCACACGAGGAAAGCGCTCTATTGATCACGTGATAATGACATTGTTAGTTTTTGTTGTAAAAGATACTTGTATTTTCACTCCTTCCAAGCTATTTTGAGAGTTCAAAAAGGCACATACTAATCCATCCAAATGACAGCTGCTGCATCATCGTTTCTAATAACTCACCCAGACTCCAGACGACTTCATCTGGTTGAGAGGCCTCTCGGTATAACGTATGTAAAACTTATGAGTCACCCTCTCCACACCCAAAGTTTTTCTCCGCCTCTGTAATGTTTCATTTTCCAAAATCACGAAACAGGGGCTACTTTGCGTTTTGATGTTTCCATTTTCTTTTTTTTCACAGCTGTTCATAAAGAATCCACCAAGGTGTCTCTTTGATGCAGAGGCACTCTCGGCCATGCATATTTACCTCAATGACGCCCTTTTCAATCTGTGTTAACGGATAGATAGATAGATAGATAGATAGATAGATAGATAGATAGATAGATAGATAGAT